ATTTATTAGTACCACTGTTAAGAAAGGTCATATCAAGAGTAGATAAAAATCAAATTACCAAAATTTCAATACCTCAATTATTAAAATTTTCAGTTATTATTTTAGAAAACTTTTTAAGAATATTGGAAAGTTGAAATCATTCTCAGTTCTTCCATTTACTAGCTGTGTAACCTTTGATAAACTACCTAACTTCTCTGTGGCTCACTTTTCTCATGTGAACAAGCATCATAGTTGTTCCTGATTCTTAGGCCATGTGTTCATCAAATGAGAATGTATTATGCATAAAGCACATAGAATTTCCTACACAGTAGCTCTCAAGATAGCTGTTATTGTTATCATAGCATTAGGTACCTGGTTTTGGACAGAGGCAGTTTAAGGCGTTTACTATCTAATACATGGAATTGCCAAAAACCAATTTTGAATTTTATGATCTAATTGAATTTGTTTTTGTTTGTTTTTGCCGATTGTCATCAAGAAAAGATACAAAAGGCTTAATTTTAATACATGGGGTGATGATTATGACTTATGTATACATAGCAATATATTTCTTTCAAGCCAGTTACTTTAATATTGTACCTGCTCTACAAAGTAAGTTTTAAGAAATTCATAATATATTATTTCTACAATATATTTATATACTTTTAAATCCATAATTTTTGTATTGATAAGTATAGAACTGTAAAATGAAGCATTTTTATAGTTTATTTCATAAGACTACATCATTGAGTAGTTCCCATTCAATCTAATTAAAAGGTAATTTAAGTTATACTACCTTAAATTTTTGCACTTATTCCCTAACTCTTTAAAAATGTATATGAAACCTAATGTTCAAAAAAATAAAATCAGTAGTCTGTGGAATAAATTCATATTCAGGAAATTATTTAGACACTAGTATATTTGTAGCCTGTCTCTCTTCCCCCTCCTTTCCACTCCAACCACAAAAATAATGCTTGGATCTGTTATTTTCTATAAAAGTTGAATTTAAGTGCATTTGTTCATAGCAGATTTTTCAGTGAATTGAAGGTAGCCCTCATTACATTTTTTACTATAGTAATGCATCACTTACCAATGGGGATATGTTCTGAGAAATGGGTCGTTAGGTGATTTCCTCTTTGTGCAAACATTATAGAGTGTACTTACACAAACATAGATAGTATAGCCTACTAACATCTAGGCTATATGGTATAACCTATTGCTCCTAGGCTACAAACCTGAAGTGCATGTTAGTGTACTGAATACTGTAGGCAGTTGTAACACGTGGTAAATATTTGTGCATCTAAACATATCTAGACATCTTAGAAGAGGAAAGGTACAGTAAAAATATTGTATAAAATGTAAGATTTGTTATACCTGTACAGGGCATTTACCACAAATGGAACTTGCAGGACTGGCAGTGCTCTAGGTTATTCACCGAGTGAGTAGTGAGTGAACGTGAAGGCCCAGGGCATTGCTGTACACTACTGTAGATTTTATAAACATTGTATACTTAGACTACACTAAATTAATTAATTATTATTTTTTTTTTTGAGATGGAGTCTTGCTCTGTTGCCCAGGCTGGAGTACAGTGAGTGTAGTGGTGTGATCTCGGCTCACTGCAACCTCTGGCTTCCAGGTTCAGGTGATTCTCGTGCCTCAGCCTCCCGAGTAACTGGGATTACAGATGCGCGCCACCACACCTGGCTGATTTTTATGTTTTTAGTAGAGACAGCGTTTTACCATGTTAGTTAGGCTGGTCTCATACTCCTGACCTTAGGTGATCTGCCTGCCTGGGCCTCCCAAAGCTGGGATTACAGACATGAGCCACTGCACCTGGCCAGACTACACTAAGTTTATAAAAAAATTTTTTCTCCAAAAATAAATTAACCTTAGCTTACTGTAACTTTTTCACTCTCTAACTTTATTTTTAAAAACTTTTTGATTCTTTTGAAATAACTCTTAGCTCAAAACGCAAACATGTACAGCGGTGCAAAAATACTCTTTCTTTGTATCCAAATTCCATAAGCTTTTTTCGATTTTAAAAAGTTTTTGTTTTCTTTTCTTTTTTTATTTTGTTTTATTTTGTTTTGAGATGGGGTCTTGCTCTGTTGCCTAGGCTGGAGTGCAGTGGCGTGATCTAGGCTCATTGCAACTTCCGCCTCCTGTGTTCAAGCAATTCTCCTGCCTCAGCCTCTCGAGTAGCTGGAACTACAGGCACACACCACCACGACTAGCTACTTTTTTTGTTTTTGTTTTTGTTTTGTATTTTGAGTAGAAATGGGGTTTCACCATGTTGGCCAGGCAGGTCTTGAACTACTGACCTCAGGTGATCCACCCACCTAGGCCCCCCAAAGTGCTGGGATTACAGATGTGAGCCGCCACACCTGGCCAAATATTGTTATTTTTGTCTGGTGGATTTCCAGAAACCAGAGAAGATGCATTTATAGTCTGTGTAGCTGTCATCATAACTTGGTATTTTAGTTGATTTCAAAAGTAGGGTGTTTGAGAAAAGCCAGATTAAGTAAAATGAGTGAGATTTGATTTATAATCTGACTAGCAATTTTCATAAATAGTTGTTTTGTCAATAATTTGCTATTTAAAGTGTTCAGGTGCTAGTTTACTAAATTTTACTCTGTGTGTGTGTGAATCTAGAATACCATTCCTTTTTTCTAGATAATTGTTAGTGATACTATATCTGGTTTCTTCATATGCTTTTGTTTATAATCAGAATTTTATTTTTTAACATGAGAATAAATGTGCTCTGTTATTTTAAATACTTTTAAAATGTGTTTAGCCACCTAGATGAATGATTCATAATCTTTTTATGTGGTTATTCATATGTGAGAGTTATGACTTATGGGAATTGGTAGTAGTGGCTCTTGGAAACAGTGATTTTTCAGTTTAGGAGTGAAAGGAAAGTCCCTGCATGAATCTGAAGTACTCACATCTCTTTATCACCTTTTGCCCCAATTTTTATGATTGTTTTCTTATTGGTATACAATTTAGCAGGCTTAATTATCTGATGGAGGTTTTCTTTGTTTTAATATTAGAATTATGATGTGCTTTTGGTGTGATTTACAAATGGTGACCAAAAGTGTTTTAGAAAAATTGTGTTTTAGATTTTACTCTTTTAAAGTTAATTTTTGAAAGCAGGATTCCTAGTTGTCTGAAATGGCAAAGCTCTTAACTTTTTCATGCTAAGGAGGACTGAGCCACATTGAAGATGCTTATGCTTAACTCAGACATGAAAACTAGAGGCCTGAAGACTAATCCTTACTTTATAATTTTCATGTCTTTTGAAAGGAGGCTTGGATGCTGAGAAGCTATCAGGTGCCTTTATGGGCACCAGAGAAAGAGTCTAAGCGCTTGTAGTCAGAGTTAATATATAATTCACTGTGAAGTTAACTGACTCAAAGCAATTAGTTCATGATTTACATTCAGTTGCTAGTGATTTTTTTCTCTTTTCCTATGCGTTTTGTAGAATGCTGTATACCCATTATAGGGCTTCATTACTTTCAGGATTGGAAGCTAATTTTGTCCTAGGGAGAAATACTTGGGTTAAATCTGTAGTCTACTTGCAGTGCCAAGAGAGCATTGGTAAAACTAAAAATGAAAAAAAAAATGTAAACTTTATTTAGAAACCTCTCTGGCTGTCTTTATAAATCAACACAACAAATCCTGAAAATGTGCCCAGTGTCACAGCAATCATTATGATTGCAGAGGAAATAAATATTACTTGTTTTTTCTCTGGTATTATGGCATTGGAACAAAAAACGCATTTTGTACAACAGTTTTTGGTTAGTGTTACAAATTCAGTCAAACATTTGCTTTGAACAAAAATATATCAGTAGGGTGTATCTGACTTTTATAAAATAATGTAGCAATGTGCATATTCTAGCAAGATATTTAAAATGATATTCTATCAAAATATTTGGGTGAGTTCTTTTATGTGAATTAAAGTGAAATATAAATACTATATAATGTTTCATACTTTTAACCTGGCAGAATGATAATTTTTTAAGTTTTCGTTGCTGGGTAGGTAAGTATTACTGTTTTGGGGAGAAATTTTAAAACTGTTCTCTAATAAAAATAATTTTATTTTAATTTACCAATTCTTTTATTGTGTAGTTTTCTATAACAAAGCACCTCCCTGTATACACTGTTATATTTGAGTCTTATAAATCGTCCATTTAAAGTAGAATATTCCAAGTAGAAATACATTCAATTTGTTGCACTAACTACCTCTTTTGTATTTGTCTTAGTATCTTTGAATATTTGTTTAGGCGTCTGAGTCACACTAGCAAGAACATTAGGAACATGGCTTTAGGCATATTTTAGTGCTTTGATGGGACTTAGTTACCTGTGCTAGAAAAAGTGGGTGTTAACCTCGATGGTGTCGTGTAAGACTTGATTTGTCGTGACTAATTTTTAAAAATTTTTCCTCATTTTTCTTGCCTGCCCCCTGGTGGAGAAAAGTTAGTAAAATCAACACACAGGGTACATGAAAAGTCTGAAGGTGGGGGGAAAATGTATATAAAAAAAGTAATCATTGCTCATGCGTGTAGTCCCAGCACTTTTGGAGGCCGAGGCAGGAGGATTGTTTGAGCCCAGGAGTTTCACCCTGGGTGACATGGCAAAACCCTGTCTCTATTAAAAAAAAAATACAAAACATTAGCCAGATGTGGTGGGAGTGCCTATAGTCGCAACTACCTGGGAGACTGAGGTAGGAGGATCACCTGAGCTTGGGAAGTCGAGGCTGCAGTGAGCTGTGATCGTGCCACTCTACTGCAGCCTGAGTGACAAAGTGAGACCCCAGACAAACAAAAAACAAATTATCGATTAATTTAGTATATGAAAATTTAAATATATGTTATCATTTCAGGTTTTATAGTCTTAGCTTCTCAATTTTGGAGGGAACAAATGCGGGACTAAAATTGTAAGAATACATAGTTTTCTTAAAGCTATGCAAATTTGCTTTGCTGATTATGTTTCTGTGTTTCTCAAAATACCTTCTCACTTCTCAGGGTCTTACTGAAGTAACACAAAGTTTAAAAATGGAAAATGAAGAGTTTAAGAAGAGGTTCAGTGATGCTACATCCAAAGCCCTCCAGCTTGAGGAAGATATTGTGTCAGTAACACATAAAGCAATTGAAAAAGAAACTGAGTTAGACAGGTATTTCTCATGCTTTTAAAAAATAAATTCAATAAAAATTTTAAAACTTTAAAACCTTATAATGTTACTTTATCATACCTATCTCAGTTTAAAGGACAAACTCAGGAAGGCACAACATGAAAGAGAACAACTTGAATGTCAGTTGAAGACAGAGAGGGATGAGAAGGAACTTTATAAGGTAATTTATTTGTTCCATATTTATTGCCTGTTACTTCAAAAGAAATGACGCCAAAGCTTAGGGGCTGTAGGTCAGCAGTTGAGGAGCAGCTTAGCTGAGTGGTTCTGGCTCTGGTCTCTTATGTAGTTGCAGTCAGGATGTTGGCAGCGGCTTCAGTCAGCTGAAGGCTTGATTGGGACTGGAAGAGCTGCTTCTGAGATGGCTTACTCACGTGGTTTTTGACAGGAGGCCCTTCAGCTCCTCTTGAAGTGGTCTTTTCATAGGCTGCTTGAATATCCTCACAGCATGGCAGCTAGCTTCTCTCAGAGTGAGTGATCCAGGAGAGAGCAAGGAGGAAGTCACAGTCATGTTGTGTATCACCCCTAAAAGTTAGTTTTCAGGGAATTAATTTGCTTCTGTTTTACATACTTAACAGGTAGTGTGTAATAAGTTGAAGAAGTTTAATGACATTAAGATACTTGTTTATCACAATTCATATAACTATTTTTCCTTTTTAAGAACATACATATATATATACCTTGGGGAGAACATTAATTTAGTAATGATCCTGTTTTAGAGTTTGACTTTTAGAATATCTTCAGAGATGTCATTTTATAAAAATATCATCACTACTAACAAATCTTGACCGCTTGAAGTTTTAATTTTTTTTTTTTTATTCGAGATGGAGTCTCACTCTGTTGCCTAGGCTTGAATGCAGTAGTGCGATCTCAGCCCACTGCAAGCTCCACCTCCCGGGTTCACGCTATACTCCTGCCTCAGCCTCCCGAGTAGCTGGGACTGCAGGTACCCGCGACCACCTCCAGCTAATTTTTTTTTTTTTTTTTTAAGTAGAGACAGGGTTTCACCGTGTTAGTCCGGCTGGTCTCGATCTCCTGACCTCATGATCTGCCCACCTCAGCCTCCCAAAGTGCTGGGATTACAGGTGTGAGCCACTGCACCTGGCAGTTTTTATTTTATTTTATTTTTAAGCAACCCTGAAATATAGGGTAGTTAGCTTAATTGTCACTAACTAATAATGTTGTGGGTGCAGATTGAGACTTATTTTTTTAAGTGGCTCATAAGCATTTCCTGAAGGCAATTCCAGATGAGGAATTTCAAGAACATTCTGAGTTAAGTCCGTTTCTTGTTAAGTCAGTTTAATGAACTGATGATTATGAAAATCAGGTAGTGTTTTAAAGTGATGCTGCAAGGGTGTTGGCTGCTGATGCCTTCAGAGAATCAGGAGTTAATATTCTATCCTTTTGAACAAGAATTAGTCCTTCAGCATTCTGTACATTTAAAGAGTAAAGTTCAAGAAGTAAGTTAATTCATTTCTCCTCAGTACTCTTAACCAAAGTAAGATATACTTGATAGTGGACACTAGGGGTCTGTACTTATAATTCCAGTTATTGAATTTGATTTGTGTATCTGTTAGGAGCAAATCTGCAATAGCGAAAATCATGGGAAAATCAACATAGTTGGGTTAGTCAACAAATACATTTTTCGGCACATTAAAACTAAGTGATATCGTACTTTTAGCCTGCAGAAAATGGAATTGTTTGAGATGTTGTTTTTGAATGTACCCCTTCTAGTTTTCCAGAGTCTTGTCATGCCAGATTTGAATATGCCAAGTAACATAATTTGTTTCCCCAAAACAACAGCCAAATCTATTTGCATTTTTAAAGAGAACCTGAAACCATTAAATCAAAAGAAAAGACTAGAGATCAGGTAATGTTGTTAGGCCTTAGAATAATCTCTATGGAAAATAAAAAAGCTTAGAAAAGCTGCGTTCTGCTCCTGCATGCTTAACTAGTCATTTGGCAGAACCTGGGTCTCCTAAATCCTAGTGTAGTATGTCTTTCCTTCCTTTAATTATCTTTGGGTTAGAAATACAATGGTATTTTAAACTTTGACTGACTTAGGTCATGGAGTTAGAATGTTTTTGACATTTTCAAACACCATTACAGGTACATTTGAAGAATACAGAAATAGAAAATACCAAGCTTATGTCAGAGGTCCAGACTTTAAAAAATTTAGATGGGAATAAAGAAAGCGTGATTACTCATTTCAAAGAAGAGATTGGCAGGCTGCAGTTATGTTTGGCTGAAAAGGAAAATCTGCAAAGGACTTTCCTGCTTACAACCTCAAGTAAAGTAAGTACTTTTGCTATATGTATTTGAAGATTGTAAAACATACCTATGAAATGTATGCAATATGATTTTCATTTTTAATTCCCCCAACCTTTTGTTTTGAAAAAGTTCAAATTTACAAAACAATTGGAAGAACAGAACAGTGTATACTAATGTATGCTAAAATATTTTGCTTTTCTTTGTTTTATCTCCCCCATTTATATGCCCTTTTTTCCTGAGTGATATGAATTGCAAGTATTATGATAATTTACTCTAAATACTTTAGCATGTCTCCTTTATGAACAAGTACATTCTTCTCCATATTCATAACACCATTATTACACCTCAGAATTTAGCATTGATTAATAGTCATTCTTGTATATAGTTAGTTCACATTCAAATTGCCCCAAATGTATGTATAACCTTATATAACCTTTAAAATTTTGTGATTCAGACTTAAAGATTACATATTATTTTGATTGTTGTATTTTGAGTCTGTTTCAATCTAGAATAGTGTCCCTATACTTTTTATGACATTGGTATTTTTGGAGAAGACAGGCTAGTCTGAGAAAATGTTTATAATCTGAATTTGTCTGTTCTCATGACTAGATTCAGGTGAGACATTTTTGCAAGAAAAGACATAGATGATGTTTTGTCCATCCTGTTGGAGTCATATCAGAAATTATATAATGTTGATTTGTTCCATTCTTGATAATGTTAGGTTTAATAATTTGTTTAAAGTTATGCCTACCTGTCTCTGTATAGGTGCCTTTCTTTTCTTCTTTGTGATTATTAAGCAATCTGTATAAACACCCTATTCTCGAACAGCCTTTCCCCAATGGTTTTATTGTCCTTTGATACTCCTCACCTGCAGCAGCTATTACGTTGGTAATAATTAATGATAGAAAAATGGTGATTTAAAAAATTCTCTTATTCCTTTTATGTTTATTTGTAGGTAATCTTTTATAATGAGGAAGTTCCTGTCACCCCTCCCTCTTTTTTTAATATAACTTTGTACTTACGAATTTTTTGTTGCATATTATGCATAACCATCATTATTCTTTTTCGTACCCAAATTGTTCTGAATTTAACCAGGGGAATCTTTTCAAGCCTGCTTTTTTGTCCTGATATGTTCCTGTAATGCTTTGAATACTTACTTGCTTTATGGCACAACTGTATGTTCTAACTTCAGGTTGTTCCCCCAGACCTGATACTACCATCTCTCCAAGAAACTCTGGTTTTTTTAGTAGGTAATGGTATTTTGAAACCAAGAACGGGATCCTATTGCTACTATGGGGCTGCTGCTTTGCACTTTCAGTGGGTATTTTGCATCTTTATTTTATATTGGTAGCTCCATTCAGATTTAGTACCTTAGGATTCTTCCTTCCTTTGCTCCGTTCCATATTTTTATCTGTCTTCTCCCAGTGTGAGAACTCTTGTTTCTAAAACATCGTTATTACTCATGTGTTTCCATCCAGCCGTACACACCAATGGTTTCACAATTATTACATCGATGCCACTTCCAACAATAAATCTACTAAATAAAGCTAAGGTATTTTTACAGCTCTTTTTTCTTAGAATATGTTTCACTAAGGATGTATAGATCACCATGTTCAAAAGTTACTTGAACTATTTTTTTTTTGCATACATATGTTATAAATTTGTAATATAATTTCATTTGTTTGTATTTAATTTTAATGTTTGCTTTTATTCTTCTGTTTGATTTAATTTTTTTGAATTTAATTTAATTAAATTAAATTAATTTAATTTAATTAAATTTTTGAATTTAATTGTTTGAATATGTGAAACAGTTGCTTTGTTCAGAAGTCAAAATGATAGAAAAATTTTACTCTGAGGTCTCAATCTTTTCCTTATTTTTTTAAACCCTTTTCTTACCTATACCCATAGGTAAACATTTTCATAAGTTTCTAGTTTATTCTTATGTTTCTTTTTGTAAAAATAAGCTTATATATGCGTGTGTACATGTACATACATACTTCTTTATCCTCTTCTTTCTTAAAAAAGGTGGCACTACTATACATACCGTTTTGCATCTTTTTCTCACTGAACAAAATAAGTTGCTAGTTATTCCATATCAGTTCATAGAGATCTTCCTCATCTGAAAAAAATGGCCATATAATATTCCATTATATAGATTTCCCTTGATTGATTCATTATTTCTTATGATGTTATTTTTAGTAATTTGCTATTAAAAATACTCAGACATAGTTAATGTAATACCTAAAATGTCAGAAGTGCATGACATTTAGAATTAATGATTAATCCTTGTTACTTTTTAATGTCACAGATTGCCAATGCAAACATGAGAAGTGTATTTGATTATTTGTTATTTAATAAGATGCTAAAAATTTCTCTAAGCATCTTTTTCCTATTTAAGCAAGACTTCTGTGAGGAAAAGCTTAGTTATGGCAGTACCTGAGAAAAATGAGTACTAGTTGCTAAAGCTTTTTAAGAGATTGTAAAAGTAGTTTGAGGTTATGGTTATAAAAAAATTTAAACAGTATGTGAGGGTACAGAGTAAAATGTAACCCTCATCCCTTCTCAGATAAGTCAATATTGAATTTATGAATATATGTATATTTATATTTTAACACAAATTAGAATTTATACATTTTTTCCTTTTTAAAAAAATTTATAAATGGATATCTTGCACTATGATACACATGTGAATCTTTTTCATTCATCATAACAGCTGCCTAGTATTTCTTCTCTTCATTTAACAACTGTATAGTATATGATTGTTTAGAGTCTTCAGCTTTTATAAGCATCCTGCAGTAAACATCCTTATAGCAATATGTAGGCACATTTATAATCCGTAGAATAAATTATTTCAAGTGGAATTACTGGGTCAATGAGTATTTAAATTTTGATAGCTATTTTCAAATTACCTTTCAAAAAAATGTTCTGTTGATTTTTTTTATTCCTACCAAGAGTATATGAGATATGTATTGTTTGTAATGACTGCACAGACTTTGATAATATGGGAGTAGTATATCGTAGTTTATCATAAATTCTCATATTGGTAGACATTTTAGGTTCTTAATAATTTTTCATTATTTTAGTATTTTGTTGAATCCTTGTAAAGCTAAACCTATGTCTGCCCTTTGATAATTTTCTTGGAAACTTATAGAAATAAAATTGCTAGATCTAAAGCTGTGAGAATTTTTAAGCTGCTGATGAATGTTGTAAACATCTGATGAGAAAAGATGCCAGTTACAGTTTATATAAGCCCACCTGTTTGTGAATGTGCCAGTTTCTCAAAACCCATGCAAATATTGGAATGTTACTGTTTTTTAATCTTTGTTAGTTTGAAAGGTGAATGGCATTTGTTTTAACTTATTTATTTGATTGTTAGTGAGTTGAAATTTTTACTGCATAATTGCATTTATTTCTTTAAAAAATTTTGTATGTTCATGACTTTTGACTTTTTTTGTTTTGTTTCTCCCTTTCCTATTGACTAGAAAAGTTATTTATGTCAAGTATTATTATACCTTTATTGAATATATTACATATAATTTTCTTCTAGTTCTTTTTCTTCTCCTTTGACATATAGAAGTTGGCAATATTTGTATAGGTAGATCTATTAGTGTGATGCTTCCGAAGATTTTGTCCATGCCAACACTGCCTAAAATCATCATTTACATATCCTTCTAATGGGCTAACACTTTAGAAACCAATATTAGGTTGCATTTTTTTTCCTGATTTTACATTATTTTTAGTGCAGAGATTAAAAGCAGGAAGTTGAATAAACTAAATTTATTGTTTATAATGTTTAAATGTTATAATGTTTAAACATTAATATTAAAGGAAATAATTTCATCACAGCAATTTTAGCTTTTTAAAGATACTTTTAGGTTTGTCAAGCAGTATGCGTTACTTTTCATTTTCCCAGTGGCTCGTCTTTACTCCTTGTATATTTTGTTTTTAGAACTAAGGCCTAAATCTGTTCTGTGTTTTTATAATGATATGTGAAATAAATTAGATTATATTTGATGTCTTTTTTTTTTTTTTTTGGTGAGATGGAGTCTTCCTCTGTTGCCCAGGCTGGAGTGCAGTGGCGTGATCTCCGCTCACTGCAAGCTCCGCCTCCCAGGTTCACACCATTCTCCTGCCTCAGCCTCCCGAGAAGCTGGGACTACAGGCACCCGCCACCACGCCCGGCTAATTTTTTTTGTATTTTTAGTAGAGATGGGGTTTCACTATGTTCGCCAGAATGGTCTCGATCTCCTGACCTTGCAATCCTCCCCGCTCGGCCTCCCAAAGTGCTGGGATTACAGGCATGAGCCACCGCGCCTGGCGATGTCTTTTAGGGTAGAAAGTAGGAAACATCTTTTAACCAAAATTTTTGGTGTTACAAAGAAGCTTTTGGAATGATTTTTACGGGTAGTCATACAAAATGAGGGTCAGTATTTCTAGGAGGAGAGATTCTGGGGGATGGGATCTTTTGTTTGAACCTCAGTTTGGGCAGGTCCTTAAGCACTGGGTATGTTGCCTGACTCCCTGTACTTTAGGTTCCTTGGGTATGAAGTAGTAGCAGTGAAACCAAGTACATAGGGTTGTTATAGAGGGAACCTAAAACAAAGTTACCTCTTAAGTTTTTTATAGGCATATACTCTGTAAGTCATGAGTAGAAAAATCAATATCTAAAATTTTGGCCCTGTTGAAATATGCAAGAATTGTTTCTGCTTCTGTTTTTTACTTGAGTGGTTGAATTACAAATATATTTATCTGCTTTCTTCAGGAAGATACTTTTTTTTTAAAGGAGCAACTTCGTAAGGCAGAGGAACAGGTTCAGGCCACTCGGCAAGAAGTTGTCTTTCTGGCTAAAGAACTTAGCGATGCTGTCAACGTACGAGACAGAACAATGGCAGACCTGCATACTGCACGCTTGGAAAATGAGAAAGTGAAAAAGCAGTTAGCTGATGCAGTGGCAGAACTTAAACTGAATGCTATGAAAAAAGATCAGGTAAAGCAAGTTAATTTTGAATTTGCATTTTGATTTAAAAAACCACTATAATCTCACAAAATAGTAAATTGTGTTAAAATAAGGCAGGTCAGATATCTGATCAGAGAATGTTAAATTTTCATTCCTTTTGTTTAGTCATTGTGACTTCTTGGCTTACAGTTAATGTATGCTGTAAGAAAAACTTCTGTGAGCGAATTCTTAATGGTTGGTGAAAGCTGCCCTAATTAAATATGTTGATGTCAGATATGTATTGCTTTGTTTGGAATTTCTTATTAGCTGTATAAAACAGTATTATGGTTGTTTAAGAACTTAATAATTGCTCTTCAGGAGGTAGATTATTTTTCTCTAGTTTTTTAAATGAACCTTAGTCCTAAGAATGTAAAACTGGACTTAACAAGAGACCCTGTGTTGCTCTGTAACCAAAATCCCAAAATAAAGAAAAAAGTGGCCAGAGGCAGTGGCTCACACCTATAATCTTAGCACTTTGGGGGGCTGAGGTGGGAAGATAGCTTGAGCCCAGGAGTTCAGGACCAGCTTGGGCAACGTAGTGAGACCTCATCTCTACAAAAAAATTTCAAAAATTAGCCAGGTATGGTGGTGTACACATGTAGTCCCAGCTAGTCAGAAGGCTGAGGCAAGAGGATTGCTTGAGCCAGGAGGTCAAGGCTGCAGTGAGCCATAATTGGGCCACTGTGTTTCAGCCTGGGTGACAGAACAAGACTCTGTCTCAGAAAAAAAAAAAAAAGAAAAAAGTAAGATTGAAGTTGGGGTTACTATTAACATTAGGAGAGACCAGATTTTTATTTTTTTCTTAGAATGTTTGTTTCTTTCTAGGACAAGAGTGATACACTGGAACACGAACTAAGAAGAGAAGTTGAAGATCTGAAACTCCGTCTTCAGATGGCTGCAGACCATTATAAAGAAAAATTTAAGGAATGCCAAAGACTCCAAAAACAAATAAACAAACTTTCAGATCAATCAGTAAGTATCATTAAATTTACACATAGTAAAATATCTTGTTAGTATTTTTATTCGAAAATCAAATTTGTAATATTCTAAATATCAACCTTTTAAATATAATTTATCTCTGCTTGATTTCAAGTAATTGGCCGAATATTGTCAGAACTCTTCTTTAAAAAAGTCTGGAATTTTAATTTACTGGACAGCCAACAAAGGAAGCAAGGGCAGTAGCAAGGAAAAGACAAAGAGAACAAACAGTCCTCTTTTCTAGATAATTTCCCTCTTAAGTTCTTGATGAATATCTTTATCACTTAAAACTCAATACTTATTATTGACTCTTGCGACAATGACATCTATTCTCATTGGAGTTCACCATTAATCATCCCTTGGTCTTAGATGGTTTCTCAGTTGTAATTGGCAAGTTCTTCCTACTCATATTAGGAAGATTCTTATTCCTATTAGATTAGGAACAGTTAAAGAGTGTTAGCTAATTCTTTTGTATTCCATTTGAGACTAGGTAGGTAGATTTGTAAGACAGCCAAGGGAATGTTTTTATTTTGAGGTATGTATGTTTCAATGTGGGTCCTTAAATTGTACTTAAATACAGGGCTTGCTATCTGAGGAACTCCTGGAAATGTAGAAGAAACATAGTTAAAACCTGAATATGATGCATATGATACTTTCCTGGTCCTACTTTTTTAAATCAGAGGAGACAAGAAAGAAATGCATGTAGTAAAGTAGGAAGGGTTTTGTGGAAAAATATGATACTTTAAGTATGACTCATCCACATGTATGAATTTGGCCTGTGGCCTTTTGAGTACATTATAACTTTGTAGTAGATTTCTGTGAATGACTTATTTTGGTGATGTTTTGATGAGTTTATAAGAAAAAGCAAAATATGGTATATTTCTTTTGCAACATTTAGGTCAGTGAGGAAAATGATGTGTATAACTTTAGTCTTTGTTGGCATTTAAAACAAGAGCAGCTTTTGTGGACTTCTTAGGATTTCCTAAAGTAATATGTAAAAATATTATTTACTTAGTTACTGCAAGAAGGAAATATAACTAATTCATTGACTCATTTAACAACTTATTAACATTTTGAATAGGCTAATAATAATAATGTCTTCACAAAGAAAATGGGGAATCAACAGAAAGTGAATGATGCTTCAGTAAACACAGACCCAGCCACTTCTGCCTCTACTGTAGATGTAAAGCCATCACCTTCTGCAGGTAAAAATCTTTTAGACTTTTTGTGGAGGGTAGTGTACACTGGAAAGTACTTATACTGCCTTCTTCCATGTGTAAGAACTTCAGGGTGTTCATAAAAATTTTCATGTGATAAGTGAAGGAATTGAGGCAACGAGAAAATAAGGGTGTAAATGTAAAATAGAGTCATGCATGTGGTGAATATACAAAACATGAATAGATAAAATGTGAGTGTAAACTAGTAGTTATCTTCTTGAGACTATTCACACATGTTAAAAATGAGCTGGTGCTTGTGAGTACTAATTTGGGCTACATAGGACAAAAGCCACGAATTGAATTTTTACTTGATGTTCCATTAAATCTATGGAATTTTGAAGCATTTTATTTGTCGATTTTAATTTTTAAATTCTGCAGGGGAAAATAATCCCCTATTATTCTCGTGTTTTTCTGTTTATTCATTTATTTTTGGCTGCTTTGGATCAATGGGGTACTTCTTCCCTTGTCAATGTACCTGTTGGCTGATAGAGTTAAGTTTTTATTAATTTATTACCTTATAGAACAGAATAGAGAGACATAGTGAAAACATGAATAATATGAAAATTTGGGTTAACTAGGTTTTCATCTGTCCTAATTTTTTCACTTTTATGTAAATTTGACAGTAATGACATTAAATACTAGAGAAAGTATATTTTCTTGTTTAGTGTGTGGAGTAGTTGATCTTTTAAGTCTTTTTAAATGTAAACATCTTAGACTATTAAATATTAGGTTTATTCCCTGTAGGACAGAATTGAGCCTTCTGTTTCCATGTATCCTTTGTAGTAACTAAAATGGTGTTATAGGGTATTTACTTAATAAAGACTTAGTGGTAATGAAGGGCTAGAAGAATGATTTAAAATGTGTTCTTGGCTGAGTGTGGTAGCATGTGGTCTAGCTACTCTGGAAGCTGTGGCAAGAGGATCACTTGAGCCCACGAGTTTGAGGCTAGCCTGGGCAACATAGTGAGACCCTGGCTTTCAGAGAGGGGAAAGAGAATTCTCAGAGTATGGTTTTCCTACTTACCCTGTCTATTCAGTTATATAAGGAGAACAATTTTTGTGCTGTTTTGGAACTCTTTTTAGCAAAAATTTTTTTTTTTTGTTTTTGAGATGGAGTCTCACTCTGTCACCCAGGATGGAGTCCAGTGGTGTGATCTCGGCTCACTCCAACCTCTGCCTCCCGGGTTCAAGCGATTCTTGCCTCAGCCTCCTGAGTAGCTGGGACTACAGGTGCATGCCACCATGCCTGGCTAATTTTTTGTGTTTTTAGTAGAGACACAGTTTCACCGTGTTAGCCAGGATGGTCTTGATCTCCTGCCTCAGCCTCAGCCCACCTTGACCTCCCAAAGTGCTGGGATTACAGGCATGAGCCACCACGCCCGGCCAGTTTTTAGCAAATTTTTTAAAAATCAAAGAATAATCCTTTATTATTGAACGTGAACTTGGTTCTAGCCAAACGCACATTTAAAAATTCTCAACTAGAGTTTATGTATCCTTTGTATATCTAGGATATAAATAGATATTTCTGTCCTTCAGTATTCCATTTATTATATTTCACAATATGCAGACCTTTAAGTTTTTCTGAACAGGAAGATAATATAAGGGGCAAAATACTTTTTAACAGTCTTATTTTCTGCCTTGCTACAGCAGAGACAGATTTTGACATAGTAACAAAGGGGCAAGTCTGTGAAATGACCAAAGAAATTGCTGACAAAACAGAAAAGTATAATAAATGTAAACAACTCTTGCAGGTAAGTTAACTACCTTGTAAATGAAAGAGGTTTATAAAATCTTGATGACTTAGCTTACCTTTATTGTTTTGATTGATTGGTATCTTTGAGTTTCTTTCCCATCCCCATATACTGTTACTTAGTTTCACTTTTGGGATGATATGGGCATTTTGTGTACCTGTTCACATAGGCATGTGTGTAACATCATGAGACCTAAAGTTATTATTTTCTTTTCACCTAATAAAATGTTCTTGTTTGGGTAATGGGCAAATCGTTAATTGAGGTTAGAAATTATTATCTATCATCGTATAAAGATTCATGAGAAATATTTGAACTTCATAAAAGGAAAGTGCTGTTTTTAAATTTACTATTATAGGCCAGGTGCGGTGGCTGATGCCTATAATCCCAGCACCTTGGGAGGTTGATGTGGGTGGATTCCTTGAGGCCAGGAGTTCAAAACCAGTCTGGCCAACATGGTGAAACCCCGTCTGTACTGAAAATACAAAAATTAGCTAGGTCATGGTGGAGCATGCCTGTAGTCCCAGCTACAGTCTCCTGAGGCAGGAGAATCATTTGAATCTGGGAGGCGGAGGTTACAGTGAGCCCAGATTGCACACTGCACTCCAGCCTAGGCAACAGAGCGAGCCTCTGTCAAAAAAAAAAAAAAAAAAAATTACTATTATAATAGCAAAGATTTTTACATCTTAAAGTGACTAGACTTGCATAGTGGAAAAGGGAATGTTAACCAAATGAGTTGTCTCTTATGGTGTTGTTTATTTTCATTATTATTATTGCTATTATTATTATTTTTGAGACAGAGTCTCACTCTGTTGCCCAGGCTGGAGTGCAGTGGTGCGATCTCAGCTCACTGCAAGCTCCGCCTCTCGGGTTCACACCGTTCTCCTGTCTCAGGCTCCCAAGTAGCTGGGACTACAGGCGCCCGCCACCACGCCCGGCTAATTTTTTGTATTTTTAGTAGAGACAGGATTTCACTACGTTAGCCAGGATGGTCTTGATCTCCCGACCTCGTGATCTGCTCACCTCGGCCTCCCAAAGTGCTGGGATTGCAGGTGTGAGCCACCGTGCCCAGCCTATTTTGATTATTTTAAACAGCATCATTCAGACTTTTCTGGTTTGCAGCCTTCTTGGTGTAGTATTCACTACTGGAATATTTAAAGGAAAAGGGAAAATGCTTCTCATTTATATCAATTTGGCATGGAGAGGAAAAAGTGTTGTTTGTGTATGTGATTTTTGTTTGTTTTATGAAATGTGCTTTTTTGTGTATGTTTTTGTGTGCATTGGGGAGGGGAGGAGCCTTGTTTAGAGCTATAGAATAAAATTTACACATTAGCTTAATTTTACTGTAATTTAATTTACAGTAATTATTTAAAATATTTTCATGTTAGTTATAAATAGCAAAATCTTTTAACCAAAGTTAAAATGAACTCTTTTTTTTTTTTTTTTTGCTTGAGAGAATCTTGTAGAAGGGTTGATTAGAACAATTTTGAGTTCAGGGCAGTTGTTTGTAAGACTGAACTACATTTTCATTAAAGATGAAACAATTCTGGATGAATATTTCAAGATTTTTCTATAGAAATAGTATTGAAAGGAAGGTAGAATAATGTTCAAGCAAAAATCTTTTTTTTTTTTTTTGACAACCATATTGAGGTATAATTGAAATCCAATGAATTACTACACATACCTAAAGTATACAGTTGGATCAGTTTTGACATATGCAATTGTGAAACTATCACCACAGTGCCATCACTCTTCCAGTTTTTTGGGTACGTGTTTGCAACACATCTCTTTCGTTATCCTTACCTCCGGGAAATCACTGGCCTGCTTTCTGTCACTATCAATTAGCCTACATTTTAGACAATTTTATAAAATGAAGTCATGTAATATGTACTTTTTTCCACCCACTTTCAGCATGATTATTTGAGATTTATTCATATTATTGCTTATATTTATTTCTTTTTATTGTATCATTTGTTTATCCATTCCCCATTTGGTGGGTATTTGGGGTTGTTTTTCGGCTGGTACAAATAAAGCTGCTTATGAACATTTGTTTACAAGTTGTTTATGGACATATGGATTTTTTTGTTTCTTTTGGGTAAATATCTAGGAGTGAATTGCCTGGGTGATATAGCAGTTGAATGTTTAACTCTATAAGAAATTACTGGCTGGGTGCAGTGGCTCATGTCTGTAATCCCAGCACTTTGGGAGGCCGAGGTGGGAGGATCACTTGAGGTCAGGAGTTTGTGACCAGCCTGGCTAACATGGTGAAACCCCTTCTCTACTAAAAATACAAAAATTAGCTGGGCATGGTGGTGCACTCCTGTAATCCCAGCTATACAGGAGGCTGGGGCAGGAGAATCGCTTGAACCTGGGAGATGGAGGTTGCAGTGAGCCAAGACTGCGCCACTGCACTCCAGCCTGGGTGACAGAGTGAGACTCTGTCTCAAAAAAAAAGAAAGTACCAAACTGTTTTGTAAAGTGTTTGTATCATTTTACATAGCCAGCCTAATGGGTGTATACTGACAGCTCATTGTGGTTTTAATGTGCGTTTCTGTAACGACTTGATGTTCAGCATCTTTTCTTATGCTTATTTGCTCTTTATCTCTTTTTGTGTGAGTGGTCAGATCTTTTTGGTAGTTTAAACATTGGGTTGTTCACCTTGAGTTGTATTTTTTTTTTTTCTGGATATGTCTTTTGTCTGATATATGTAAGGTGAATATTTTCTCCAAGTCTGTAGCTTGCCTTTTCATTTCCTTAATGATGTTTTTAGAAAAGCAGAATTTTAATTTTGATAAAGTATAGTTTATCAGTTCATTTATGTTTTATGCTTTTTACCTTCTAAGGAATGGTTTGCCTAATCCAAGGAGATAAAGATTTTCTCCTGTGTTGTCTTCTAGAAGTTTTATAATCAGCTTTTCTATTTAGGTCTGTGAATCATTTTAATTTTTGTGTATGGTATGAGATATGGAATGTATGGTATGGCTATTCAACTGACCTAGCATTATTTGTTTAAAAGATTTTCCTCTCCATTGAATTGCTCAAAGTATATTTTTAGGTGTTCACATTGAACAAAATGTTCCAAGTGGAACTGGCCTAATTACCTTTTTGTCATGATTTGTAGCTCCTCCTTTATGATAATCTGGGTTGTAGAGAAGATCAATGTATAAGAAGTCAACCTAAAAATTATCTTGGTCAGCAAATCCTGGAGTTTATCAATGTATGGAAACAACAGCATTATAAATATGACATTATTTCCTCCCTTTGCAAAAGTAAATCCAGCACTTTATGAGGAGTTGAGACGGCAGATCACGAGGCTCAGGACGATCAAAGAACCCATTCTGCTACACACGGTGAAACCACCTGCTCTACTAACAAAATACAAAAAAAAAACTTATCCGGGCCGAGGTGGCGGCGCCCCTGTAGTTCCAGTCCTACAGCTTTGGATGCTGAGGACAGGAGATGGCACTGAACCGGAGACGGACTTGCAGTGAGCTGAGAGTCTGCCACTGCACTCCAGCCTGGGCGAGCAGAACGAACTCTGTCCTCAAAAAATAAAAATAAAATAAAATAAAATTACATTCTTTTAATGTGTTTATTCTCTAAGGTGA